TAATTAAATTCTGAATGTAGGGAAAAACGTAAGAAAAACGGAAAATGTACGAAAATAATGCTTTATTATTTTTCAATTTTGTTGCATTTCGGTTAAAAGTATTCGTAGGCTTGAAATTTGGACAGAAACGTATATTTGCGTTTTATAGACATGGTTAAATTTCAAAAAATTTAGGCCATTCTTGAGCTATTTATAGTCATTTTAATTTGCGAGTTTTGTACGTAACTTTTACTCGGTAAAAATGACTTAACAGAAATGCTTGAAAATTTAACAAGAGGTTCATTAAGAGTCATACTTTGTGGTAAAGAAATAAAATGATAGTTTAATGTAGTATTTTTTTTTTATAAAGGATTTTTAGTATCAAATTTTGAGGAAAATCGATTGGATAAAAAATTATGTTGAACAAATCTAATTTATCAATTTTTTTTTTCTGTTTTTTAACATATGTATATTGTCAAATTAAGAATGACAGTGAAGTCAGAATTGAGTGGACTCATTAAGTTTCGAAATTATAGCTTCTTTGAAGTTCTGATATTATGCGGACATTATATGTTATGTTAAGTAATAAAATATTGTCTTTTCTAAAGTATGAACTGAATGGTTACACATACCTATTTCCATCGTAGTTCGTAGTACCGTGAAACTGATGAAACCAATGAAATCGTAGAAAACGTGTATCAAAAAAAAAATTGTTGCATTTTTTTCATTTTTACCTAAACAAGGAAAAAACAAATGCATTTTGAGTGTACTTAGGGACCCAAGCTATTGCTTGCCCGAAATATTTTAAACGCAGAATACCTCTCAATTTGTTGTGCAATCTTTTCTACTAAAAATCTTGCTCTGATGTATCAAGTGTAGCTTATTTTTTGAAAGGAAATTTAATCTCCATGGTAACTTTGGGGGTCATTTTTTGATTTTCCCAGGAGTTTTCTCAATTAATTGGAAAAATCGGGAAAAACTGAGAAAAAACGGCAAAATGTATAAAATACATTAGTAAAATATTACGTTTTTTTTTACCAACAATATTGCTCCAATTTACAATGATAGCAATTTTTCTAAAAGTAAATCTGACTAGAAAAATACTTTAAAGAAGTCAATTTTCGATTTTCCAAGAGTTTTCCTAGAAAATATGAAAAACCGGGGAAAACGTAGGAAATACGGGAAAATCGGTACAATATTGAACAAATATTATTAAAGAAAATATACAATGCCTATTTAATTATTTTATTATAATATGACATATTTATTGTTGACAAAGCATCACTATCAACTGAACTTCGATCAGAATTATTTTTTCGTTAGTAATGATTTATTGTTGCTTACATTGTATACACATTAAATTACCTATAATAATGGCTGCACTTGACCTCATTATCCTAGGACATCTTTTTTTATATTGTTTTTGACATAGATTAATATTTGTTTGTGCCATTTATTTAATCATGTATGTTCGTTCTGTTCAATTATTATTTCCACGGTATTTCCTTATTTTTGTGAATTGATTAAAATTGTTATGTAATCTGTGAATTATGCAAATTTTCCATATTGTCGTATACGTAGTAATGATGTAAATTATCCGAATTTGAACAAATCGTATTAACCAGATATCTATATCCGTTTATTCAAAATCCGAATAATTTCATAGTAATTCAATATTTATATTATTGATTTTAAACAATGTAGGTATCTTTAAATGGTAAATTCATTGTATATTATTTATACAAATGTAATTTTTAGGAGAGGGGTTATGTCCCTCCCTTATTCGCACCACTGCATATAATTAAATTAATTAAAGACATTCGAATTATCTGGTTAATCTGAATAAAATTTATTTCAATACGCGGTTTCGGATGTCCAGATTATCCGGATTATATTGGAATCCAGACCATGTCTGACATCATTAATACCTATATTTGTCATTGTTAGTGGGGAAAAAAAAATGCCGTATTGTTACAATTAAGATTATTTTTGTGTTGTGCCGTATATGGTGATATATTATGTTAGAAATTACTATCATTGTTGTAATCGGACGTTTGCTGGCGATTACTTGTAATACGTTCGTTTTTTCGTTTCTTTTACATGGGTATCATCATAATATGAGTAAATTATTTTTTTCGTAAATTGAGTTTCATTACCCATTTGTTATTTGTTCTGTTTTGCTTGGTCTCCTCGTCACTCTGACGCGGGAACCCATCAAATTATTAAAACCAAAAATAAATACCTTTTACCCTAAATAACTTGAGTGCGTTTATTTTCTTCGGTTGTCTCATACCGCTCAACCCTCCATCTCAGTCGTCGGTTCCTTTTCGTTCTATTTTTGTTTTTGTGTCCGCCTGTTATATGGCCGTGCTCGGGGCTGGTGCCAGGTAATAAAGCATACGCCTACTATTGTGTACTGGATGTGCTAGCCACCCAGGTTAGAGTGGGTTAGGTTAGATTTCGGTTAGCTTAGGTCATCCAGTTGCAAAGCTCACCGGATTGGACTCCACCGACAAACCAACAAACTGGGTCGTATCATTCTATTAGAATAATTTTAGATATAATTTGATATAAGTTAGGTATAGGTTTTTTATAAGGTACGTTTCGAAACATGTGAGACTCCGTTGGTCAGTCCGTCCTTTTTTGTTTGCCCCCCTTCCTCCAAAATCACCTTTATCGTTTTCTCCGTTCACAAGATCTTTGGTCCGTCGTTGATTGATAATTGCCATCATCGTCATCGTACCCGGGCCCCTGAAAGTTGGGTTGCTTACTCCATCATAACCCAGCGAGAGAATCTAGTCAAATAAATAGCCATCTTAAGTCAACTATGGCGCAATAAGTCGATCAGTCCTTTCTGACCCGATCTGGTTGACGAAATTCCAATGAATGATTAATCAGATGACGAATTTATAGCAGATTGTGTTGTAACTTAAGGTAAATTACTATACATAACTATACGTATAATATTATTAGAGTAATCTCTTTAGGTATAACAAATATATTATATAAATGTTTTGATTCGTAGAACTGAGCTACTGATATTTTCTTCCTTAAAAAAATAATCAACTAATAGTAGTATAGATACTTGTGGATAGTAGCTAATATAAGCTTTTATAATCTCTAATATGTAAAGCTATAATCTGTAGCTTGTAAAATAATTTTAATAGAAATATTTATAACCAGTGCCTTTTTCCAGGGGAGGATAAGGTGGAGGTGGGAGTTTAAATTTATAGCCAACACTCCCTCACCCTCCGCCAAAAAAAAAAAAAGCAAGTGTCATCAAATATTGCTCAACAAAAATTCTACTCCCCCCATAATTGGTTATCAGTTATACTATAACTATACGGAGACTTATTCAATTTTTCTATTATTTGATTCTTCAAATCGTGAGCCATTTCATCGTTTGACAGAGTCATTTTTGCAAACCTTAACAGAACTTTCTTCGTTTAATATAGTTTTACAATCAGTAAGTAAACATGATTATATAAGTGACTTACCAATGTCTAAGTTGTAAGTTATTAATTTCGAAAATTAACAATAAAAAATAAAGAGTTTTTCTACCTTCATTTTCTCAACAGCATACGTCATTTTCTTAACCAAACCATTACATGATGCCTCTAAGTTATCAATCCCCACAAATTGCCATCAAGTATTACGCAAACTATGGCCAACCCTCCAATTCAAATACTATTGCACCACCAAATCGACCATTAGAAAGTATTTCTCCAGCCCAATCAACTTCTTCTGGTTATAGTGATATAGATTTTTCAATCCCTTACAGCCAAACTTAATCTATCTTTTACTTCTAATAAATTAAAATTTCAAAATATGACTAAGCAAGAAGCTCAAAATATAAGTTTTTGTTACTTATTAGTAGGGCAGAGGACTTGTAGCTCTAAAAAAGCAATACATATGCAAGCACTTATGAACTTAAAAACCCCATAATATGCACTTAAAATTGTTTTTTAAAGTATTTATAAAATAAATAGCTTTTAAAACAAGTTAAAACAATTCTATAATTTAAATATATTTCATACCATACCCAAATAAACAAAATACATTTTTTTAATTTTATACTTCTTCTTCTGACACTAAAAAAAAATATTATCTATGGTTCAGTAAAAATAATTTTAGCCAATACATATTTAATTAATGTTATTAATACTTTTACCTTGAAAATGACATTGAACAATCAAATGTTCTTTTAAATTTTCAAACTGAAAAAATTATCTGTTGTCTGCCAAAAGAACTTTGAACATTGAGAATGACCTTTCAACATCGACAGAGTTAACTGCAGCGTATTTAAAGTAGATCAAATCGTTTATGCTTACATTTTCGGGTAGATCGTCCATTAAAGTTTCTTTGCCATTTAAAATGTTTGAAATTCGAATTAAACTTTGATATCCAATTTTTTATTTCAGAACATCATTCATTTTTTCTTTTACAATTTTTCCAATTGGACCTGACTTGACTCAATTTCAAAATAACATTTTGCACTGCATCGATTGCTTGACTAAGTAAAATATTTTTTGCTCCAAGACTGGTAATTGTATCAGGTAAAAATTCAAAATGTGATTTGATAAATACTAAATTTGCCGCAAGGCTTGCTTCAGAAAAATACTTTTGTGATTTTGCAATAGAAATAGCGTCTTCCTTATTGAAAGAGTCGACAATAGATTTAATAATTTCAAGGTGTTCACAGCAATAAACAGCGGCTCTTATCCACGTCCCCCACCTTGTTAAAATAGGTGCTGGCGGTAGTAGAATATTGGGCGCTTTGTCTTTAAATATTGCAACACGATAAGGCGCCTTTAAAAATACTTTTTTGACATTTACGATGATTTATCAACTTTGCAATAATTTACACGAATTTTTTCAGCAATAAGATGAAGCCCGTGCACAATACAAGTAACGTAAATAACTTAAGGGTAAAATACTTGAATTGACTTCCCGGATTTCACCATATAAGGCGCCGCATCACTTAAAAACAATAGGACGTCGTCGTGACGCACGTCTTCTGGTCACAATAGATGCATTGAGTTATCAAATAATTTCGCAATTGTCGAATGATTAGCTTTGGTCAGTACTTCGGAATTCAATAAAAATGTTTGGCCTGGACCATCGGTTTCAAGAGTACCGATTACTACGTTTGCAATGAATCGGCCTGATGAGTCGGTGGTCTCATCTATTGATACCCAGATCTTTTTACCAGTGATATCATTTCTAATTTTATTCATAGTTTCAGAATAAATTTCATCGACATAGCGTTTGCGTAAAGTAGTAATGGCCGGAATTTGTTTCCTCGTATATTTTTCCAAAAATTGTTTGAATTGAACGTTACCTAGATTATTAAGTGGTATGTTGGCTGATAGCATTGCAGAACATAAGTCTTTAATGAAAGATGATTTTTTAGAATTACTCACCAATTTTTGTACTTTTCTCAATTCAAGTGCATTTATGTTTCTTTCTTTACGCATGATCGAATTTTGTGTTTGTCTATATTAATGTGTTGCGTAACATTAAACCGTTTTTCACTCCCTACTTTAACGTCACAATATTTACAGTACAGGACTTTACCGTCGGTGGAAAACGTACAGGCACCAAATTCAGACACAAAACATTTTAACCGACTACTTAAAGGCTGTTTATCTTTCGGCATTTTATTACAAATATCAAATATGAATTAAAAATGTTCAAATAAATTTATAATACGGCTAATAATTCGGCACAATTAATACGAATGTACATTCCGCAGAACTGACTGAGACTAAATATTAAAATATTGATTATTGTCGTTTCTAGAAACGTTTTATAAATAAAAATCCTAATCGAATAAACGTATACGTAAATAATCGTAAACAACCATCTACCTAGATAAAAATAATTCCACCAAATTAATATTATTGCCTTATCTCCGATTGTCAAGCGCTTCTANTCCAAACATTTTGACTGATTGTTTGAAATTAAAACATCGGTGTGGCAAATATTGATGTAAGTTAAATATGTCTCAAAAAATATAAAATGACTATACTTTAAAAAAGTGTAAAATATGCACTATAAACAAAAAGGACTCAAAATATGCATTTATATGCAAAATAAAATTTCAAAACTAGCTTTTTTAAAGCATGAAACGTATTTGTGTTGTACTCTGCTATTTTTGTGACTGTGCAAAACAAATATGCAAATGATACAAGTCTTCTGCTCTAATTATTAGTAATATGTTTTTTACACACTTAAGTTTTTATGTTATTTTTATTCAATAAACGAGTTGTAACAAAGAACGTTTTGACTTACCTATTGTTATTTCTTACTAATATGTTTTTTTTTTTTTTTATATACAGATAAGTTATTATTTTATTTCTATTAAATATACGAGTTATAAAAAAAACATTTTGACTTACCTCAGTGTCACAGCTAACATTTCCTTAGGCTGAATACAATCCCTCATTTGAGTATTCTGCCGTTGAATACTACATTTCAGCCGGTTATGGAGTTCATCAAAGGATGAAACAGACATTCGGAAGTAGTTGAAAAATGTATTTTCATCTACTATTAATTCTTCAAAAAGTGAGTTAAATGTGCCCATGACATTTCTTCGTCCATTAATTGGATGCACCCAGTACTTACGAACACGTTGTTCTTTACGTATTCGCAAACGACGATACAAAAGCTACATGGCAATGATGTGTTTTCGGTTCATGTTGATAATCAACTGAGTTAAAAAAGTAACTTAACCTAACCTTTATATAACTTTAACGTAGACGATTCACGGGAATCGTACGGACGAAACCGCCGAGTGTGAAAGGGGCTTAACGAGCATAAATATATGATTTGTACAATCTTATATAATCGTAACAATCGTTCGGTGTACTCGTATATCTACTGATTGACTGCGGCGGTGGCATAATCCTTATTAGCTCCAGCAAAATTTTTATCTCGAGTTCTAAAACAAAACAAAAATTGCTTTTACAATATAAATATAAAATAACCTGAACATAGTTTTGGAAAGCATACAATTTGTTTGATGGTCTTAATTTAAGCTTCTTTTCTTCTTTGTTTTGACCTAATAATTTTGGCCCTTTGCAACTTGGAAATAAAACGCTTCGTAAATTTCCCAGGGCTTTCTTTTGTAGCCATTTTATGTTGTTTTTGTATATATTGAGGACCAAAATTAAATGCTGATATTGCTGTCATATACCTAATATTGTACGATTCTAAAATATTGATAAGAATATTTTAATATTGTGAGTAAATACTGGTATATATTCGTATATATTATAAAATATAAATAATTAAAGAATATATAAATTTATAGTAAATTTAATTAGGTATCTCTCAATGAATAATTCATTCTTTTTCCTTCCACAAATTTAGCTAAAATATTATTATTTGATTCAACATAGTTATTGGTCAGATCATAAATTAGGCTATTTGAATTCAAGAATACTAAATTTTTAGCAGCAGAAATATGTTGCCATAAATCACAGTTCTATCTCGGGTACATAATTTATACTATCAAGTTTAGCTTTGCGAAAATATTTAAAATTATAATAAAATTTATTGAGAAAATAATAATTTATAAAATATGAAAAAATATTCAATATTTATTTTTGTATAGATCGCAATTGTTGTGATATCCAAACACATGGCCCATTGTCGATGTCTTTTTTTAAAAATGTTGCCTTTTGACTGTGGGTTAAATTTTATTTATTTTTCCAATGTTCAATTTCTTTTTTAATTCCATACCTAAAAACAAAATAAAACCGAGACACTTCGAAAGTAGGTGCAGTCACTGTTGTAGTTGGAAAATTGGGAAGGTAGGATACAGAAGAGAATTTAATGTATATCTAACCAACGATTGCTAACGATAAAACGATTCTGAGCAAAGTTCAGTTGACAGTGATGCTTTGTCAATGTGCGTTTTCCATGACAACAATGATTGTCTAAAAAAGACCTATAGGTACCTATAGGCATATTGTATTTCAAATTATTGCCATTGTATGGTTGCAGGCACGAATTGTCTACTACCGGTTTTTCCAATAATATTGTTTTGGCTCTTATAGCTACATCCAGCCCACATACCTGTACATCTAGTCAGCTTATCATTTTTCTTTGTGTATTGTCATGTTATATTTTATTTAGATATAAGGTAGCAGTGCACCAACAAATTCTGTGAGTTTATTATTATTATTATCATTGTGGGCTATATTTTTATCTGTTGGATCAAATTCAATTTACTAAAGTATTTATTGTCATTTTTATTCTGTGTTGCTATGAATTATTCTCTACTTATTAATTAATTAATAGCAATACAATAATCTTATTACCACTTATTTATTTGTTAATATCCTATCATAATCTTAAGTCACACACCCACCTATATACACACCTATACATACCACCGCACACTAGTGTCTCACAAAATTTGCTCAGCGAACCTGTCCACCTCTTGTGAGCGTTTTACACATATACACACCGTGCAGTCGGTCGAGACTAAAGACAAGTACCCAGGACATTTATAAAAATCCGCCCTTCGTTTTGTGGCAGAAGGAGGAAGGGGTTAATGCACAGCACAGGCTTGTGTGATATCATTTCATACTCCCGGCTCAAACATTAGGTATGATTTCATTCGAATTTGTTATTAGTTTATTAATTTGTTTAGTGTAAATTAAAGTTGGGTCATATGTTAAGTTTTGAATATTATTATTTATAAAATCTACAGTTTTTTTTTTTTTATGAATTTCATTTATGTAAATAATAATAATAGTATAAGATTTATCTACTGAAACTATTTCTGAATTATTTGTTTTTCGTTTGTTCACTATATTATTTATTTATTTAACTAAACTATTTTGCTTTGATATTTTATTATGTATACTTTTTTAGATTTTATTGATGCTGTTTATTAAATTATTTCTTGTTTGATTTTGATTTTGAATTTTTATATAATTTTTAATAGATTCACAATGTATTAGTTGTTTTTAATTGAAAGTTTAATGTGTGATATGTACCTACCTATTTAATTTATTCAATAAATTGTTTTGAGTTTTATTGAAAATTATGGAAGTTAAATTAGTAACTCGTGGTTGTAAACATTGCTGGCTTTTGAGTAGAAATTTTTGTTGGATATGATTTTTAAAGTGTGAAATTTGTAAGTGGTTTAAATTTTTAGATAAAATTGTTTTTAAATTATTAATCTCTCCTACAATTGTGTTTTTTGCTGAATAACAATTTTTTTTCAGAATTCAACTATATTACAAATGATAAACCATAATTAAGTACCTATATGTAATTTATTATTGTATGAAATCTACATGATATTTATTAATTACAAAAATTTCAAACTTTCAAATTTTGGTGAATTTTACAATTACTATAGGTAACTACTACAAAAAATAGTTAAATTATTATAATTTATCCATCATAGTAATTTTATAGTATTAATATTTTCAAAACGTTGTGTATCAAACATTTTCAAACAAGTTAATGTTTGAAAATATATAAATAAGTTCGACTAGATTGGTTGGACACATTTGGACAATTAGGCGCTAAAAATAAAAATCGGAACATAGTAGAAAAGTTGTGCATTGACTGCAATGCATCACTACACTCCTCCGACCCAAACTTAAAAGTGGAATTTATATGTATCTATATTTTAAAGACATTTTAAATTTAATAAATATGCAATTTATTACCCATCCTTACTCCTCCGGTCTAAACATTAAACTATTATAACTCAAAAATTGTAAATCAGATATTATTGTTAAGCACCTCAAAATATCTAGAAAAATATTCTTTATTTGAATCTGTGTTCAAAAGAGGAGGGTTCTTAAGCAAAATTATATACTTATTTAAGGTATATGAAATATAGATAAAAAATTAAAAAACCAGGCAACTTCACACGTGGGCGCAGCCACTGTTGTAGGTGAGAGATCAGATAATATATACTGAAAAATAATAATCAATTAACATTTTATTTTAATTTCCACAGCTATTTGAACTACTTTTAGTAGTCCAAATAATAATAAAAATAATAATTTATAATTATTTATACCTGTATCAAACCTGATTTTATAGTTAGAGTTTTCTGACAAATACTGTTTTAAATCTTGATTACGATATTTAAATGGAAATTTGATTTCGACACAATATTTTTTATTATTTATAGTATTTAAGTCCGTCTTGCACCTATTAGTCCTGCTACATGAATCCAAATACCAGTAGACGAGTAGATAAAACATCAACTTTATGTTTGTTTTTGAATTTATTTAATGCCACTTCTTTATGATTTTTAATCCATTGAATAGTTCGTACTGAATTTAGATTGTACTTGCCCAAAAGTGTTTTAAATAATGATGGTGGAAACTTGTTTCGATTAATACATTTCAAAATTTTGTGGAAGTTACTTGCAGTAATTCTATACTGTCTATAAAAGGACTATTTTATATTTTCTGATTGGTCGATTGTATATGTAGAAATTTTTTAAAAATTTTCTTTAGTCTTATTGCAATAAATTAGAAATAAATTATTTTGAAAAATAGTACAAACTCTAATGGTAGTAAATTTACATTATCATTTGAGTGATCAATAAGCTTTTCAAAACAATTTTTTTTTATTTTAGTAGCTTTAATTATGGAGAAATTATCTAGATAGAGATCATCTATACATTTTACAATATCATAACTTTTTCTTTTCTTTCTCCAAAGGCATTCAGAGTCAGTTCCCGATATATGTTTACATGTAACAATAAAGCCGTCATATGACCTCATATACTTTGTCCTACTGCATATGTGCATTTAACATATTCCACAGAATTATTCTTTATACAAATCTGAAATATTAGGATAATAAAATCTTGTAAATTTGTTGTAAAATTTAAAATTTAGTAAAATAATAATAATTATTATTATTTTTACATTAGTAATTGCACAACTTCTAAATCAATCAATAAATACTAAGTTCACCTTAACATTTTTAAATTTTTTTTTTCATACTAAAATGCACATTTCCTTTTAAAATTCCTAAAACAAAATTGCAAATGTGTACATTTCTAATTTCAAAATGGTTTTCGCTTTTAGCAATAATCTTAAAATCACTACTAAATTCAATTATTTTTTGAATCATAATTATTGATGCCATACCTAACTTTACACCAAGCATGTAAAATATTAAATATCAACTGGGTCAAAAATATTGAACAGAAAACTATGCAAATCACAATCGTAAAAAAACGGGGTTCGCGCAGCATTTGACATGCCTACTCTAAGCTATATATTTTAAATATTAAAGTGAATCTACCTACATAAATATTGGTTAATTTGTTCTTGCTCTAACTCCTCCACACGTATGGCTGACGGACTGGATGATGGACTTAATAACTTATAGAGCTTCTTTCAAGATAACTCCAACACATCCATTTCCTTTTGTTAATTTAAACACATAGTTGAAAACTTCACAACAAAATCAATAAGCATTCACTCATTGATTGAAGAAACCAATACAGACGCACGTACAATCATAAATTTAATAGAAGAAATCCGACCATTCGCTACCAACCGTTCTATAAAAACCCGTCTCACCAAGTTGGCAAACTTACTCTTCCAAACCCTAATATCGCAATAAACAGCAAATATCAAGAACTTAACTAATGAATAATAATTCAATGACCAATAATACGCAAAATCAAAACCACATACCACCCACTTACAAGGCACAAGACAAACTGGCACCCCTAGAAACAATAGTACAATGGAATATAAATAGCTATTATAAAACACTGTCTGACATTCACCATATAATTGCTGAGCTCCATCATCTGGCGCTTTGCCTCCAGGAAACAAACTTTAAAAACCAACACAAAGAACCAAACCTCAAAAATTATCATGGATATTTCAAGAACCGAGACCTTCTAGGAAGAGCTAGTGGGGGAGTGGGGCACCTTTGTATCATGATCAACAGAGCATAAATAGATCCCTCTCACTACTCCACTCAAAGCCATCGCTATATCCACCACAACAAATTACAATACTAAATTATCCATTTGCAATGTATATGCACCAAAAAAAAAGCACAGGGCTTACATTTTCGGATTTCAAAAATCTTATCTCACAACTCCCACATTCATTAATTTTACTAGGCGATTTCAACAGTAGAAATATTATCTGGGGATCTGATTACACAGACAGACGAGGGAGAACAATCGAGAAACTCTTAGAAGATGACTCGATAATCCTCCTCAACGACGGCAACCCAACAAGACATAATTCAATCAACAGCAGCTTTTCAGCAATTGATCTGACTATAGTATCCACATCCTTAGGGGGCACAATTGACTGGACCGTGCAAACATCCTATTGCAACAACGACCATTGGCCTATAACCCTAAGGCTACTCAATTCTCAAGTAATGGACAAAATATCCCTCAGATGGCTCTTGAAAACGACCAATTGGCAAAATTTCAGCGACATGGCTGACAAACTATTGGCTGAAAATCATTTCAATACTCTCCTTCAAACAAACCCCTCTGCAAATATTGACTCAATAGTAAAAGCATTTACTAATGCATTAATTGAAGCAGCAGAAATCGGAAAAAGCCAACGCACGTTTGCCAGGAAAAAGGTCCCATGGTGGAACAACGAATGCAAAACAACCATACAGAATTACAAAAAAGCCTTAAATAAATTCAGGAAAACAAGACTTCAATCTGACCATATCATACTTAGCTTTCAGAACAAGCCCAATTTATAGCCTATTTTGTGAGTCCGGCATCCTTACACTGGATTTTAGAAATACCTTTCTGTCAAATACGCAGCTAAAAAAATTTCAACACCCCAAACCAAAATGAAAGAAATAGTCATCAAACCTCTCCGAACTCATCACTATAAACCACTATACGTTAAAATAAACGAGATTCAAGAAGAAATATCTGTTAATATCAACAACACAATACCCATTGAAAGTCCATATCCATTTCGCCCATGGCATACCAACCTTATTGAAGTCAACACTGATCTTAAAACATTCTACAAAAACTTCACACCACACAGACAAATCATCAATTCGTTCCACGAAATAATAAACAATAACTTCAACAGTTTTTACCAAATATGTACAGACGCTTCTAAAGCCCCAAATCAAACTGGTTTTGCTATCACACATACGTCACAAAATATCTTGTTCAAACTTCCTCAATTTACGAGCATCTACACAGCAGAAATTCTGGCAATTTTCGAAGCACTATCAACATATTCTCTATCCGTAACTCACAGTAATATCCTCATACTAAGTGACTCTATGAGTGCTATATCAGCTAAATCGAACACCAACACAAAATGCAACATTGCCTAAAGTATCCAGTACAAAATACGCGCTTCCTTCAAAACTATACAAATAATGTGGATCCCATCACACATCGGAATCCCGGGCATTGAACTTGCTGATGATCTTGCCTCAAAAGCAGCTATACTCCTCAATATCCAAATATATCAACATATACCATATGAAGATATCATTCAAGTCCTTAAAAATAAGCTCCACGCCTTGTGGTAATCCCAATGGAAAAACAAACATCAAACAAACTTCTCCAAATAAATCCCTCCATCAATGCATGGCCGGAGCCGCAAACCAATAACTTCAACAGACAAGATGAAGTAATGATTACCAGAGTACCCATAGGTCACACTGGGCTAACTCACTCTTACCTATTAAGTAAAGTCCCTGCACTACTATGCGACACATGCCAATGTACTCTCACGGTCAACTATATATTCTCGAGTGCCTAAATTTCAACTCCGCCAGATCATCGTCAAAACTCATCGCAACTTCACCCAAAGAAGCCTTTGGTCACGGACAGGAACCCAACATCATCCATTTTATCAAAACAGCAGAACTCTCCTCACTAATTTAAGTCTTCATCTGTGATATATTAGTTTTAACCCCTTTAAAGAACAACCTCGAAATATCATTAATGCCATCACATCATATAATCATCAACACCACCTTTGTTATCCCTATATTGTAATTAATCGACCTTTTCTACTTTCTATCCTTTTGTTTACCATAGGCTAATGAACTTTGTATTTGAAGCCTTATCAAATAATGAAAAAAAATAAAAAAAATATTAGTTAAATTTATATATCAATATGTGTACAAAACTATAAGATCAATTAAAAAAATAAGAAAACAATTTAAAAGGATTAAAAAATGGAATGAACCATAATAGCGATTTGTTTTGAACCATACTCGTTATCATTCAAGATTATGACGTAACAACTAATCTCCTCTACTAAATAACCGACTACTACACTGATAATATGTAAAATATGTATGCCACAAAAAGTAAAAAAATTTCTTCGGAAAATTGGATATTTAGCAAAATTTGTTGATATAAAATACTTTTTAAAATAGTTATTTGAAGAAGCGGCCCACCAAGAAAACTTTTGAATTCCTGGTGGTCCAATCTGCCCCTGGCTACAAATAAAATAATTGATTTATAGATTTTTGTAAACGATAAAAATTCTAGAATGACTTTGGGTTTAGGTTTCTTAGGTTATTGTTGTATTTTATCTTTAAACATTTTATAAACATGGTATCTTAAATTATTGTATTTTTACAAAGGTTGGACAAATTCGACAGAACATCCTCTAAAAGTAGCCATCATAGTAACCGTGTATTTCAGTTCATTATTAACAAAACGATTAGCATAAAATTTAAAATACACTAAGTAATACTCTGGTTGCCAAGTACAACATACATATTATTATATTGTCATAACTAATTATAAAATATTATGTAAAATCAAGGTAAATTAAATGCATCGTACATATTAATAATTACTACTTTAAACAATGGCCGAATTCGTTTGTGATTAGGATTCATCTCGAAGTAGCAAGTTCAGACTTAATTCCTCAGATCTACCTGTTATTAAAATGATATCTGCCGACAGTGTTTGGTGCAATTATGTGTCGATATTCTGCAACCCACCGGCTCAACCGAATTTTATAGACATTTTTTTTAATATTTTAAACATATACTCGAAAACGATTATGGTGATCACAAGTTGTATAATAATATGCATTGTTGTCGCGTTATATGTAAAGCGGCCACCCAAGTTATTATTGGCGATAAAACAAAGTTCATTAAAGGTGCGTAAAGGTATTCTAATAATATAATTAGGTTTCGGATGTTTATGACCTTAACATAGATTAAATATGTTTGCACTTATACACCAAAAAATAACTAAATATGTGCGTAAAATATTTTAATTTAGTACTAAAAATAGTGGTTAAAAACATGAATATTTTTGAAGATCTTACACTAGGATATCTAAAAGTGGGCCTTTTTACGTATGTGGATGACGTGGATATCATAGAAGAGGATATGAAGACGGTGAAGAACTTATGTAAGAAACTGACGGTAGCAGCGAGCAAAGTAGGCCTGATAATTAATGAGGAAAAAATAGAATTTATGAATCTCAATTGTGAGGATAGGACCAAAGTAAAGGTCTGAAAGTAGATGGCCATTTCTTCTACAGAGTACCGCAGTTTAAATAATTAGGAGTCCTCTGTTGTATATGCAGAGTAACACATTGTGCGATGGTAATACTGTTCGTCAGCATTAAGAAATTGTTGTAACAATAATAGTCTCTAAGTAGCATTTAGGAAGAAAATTATTTATATTGGATGGTTATAAAAGGAGTAAAAGGAGATAGTGAAAAGGAGAATCCATGCGGCGACGCCGCCGGACTACGTTTTTTGGTTTTAATATAATTTATTTAATAACGTTGTGTTTATTTTAATTGTTTCGTATACGTTTTAGTGTATACTCTCATTTAGTTTTTTAGTAGCTACGATACTTTCTTTTTTATTCTGAGTCCGATCCGAAACCAGTTAATTCATGATCTTTGAGGATAAAGTCAAAATAATTAAGTGGTCCAATCAACTTTGGAGTTCCGATTAAAACTGGTTAGTTCATGGTCTTTTGGTTACTCCAGTTTATGTTTGACCGATACCCTTGTTAAAGGGATATACAAAAAAGAATCCAAATTGCTAGTAATTTTTATTTTGGTATTGGATTTCTTATACAAATCAGAGCTATCTAAAAAAAACCATAGGATTAAAATGTAAATAAAATGTATACGGCCTATAATCTTATATGATTTTGAAAAATAAACTCTTAGAAAGACGGATGAACTGAGACTCGACATTTTTGAAAAAAGAATTTTAAGGCGTATACTTGGCCCCTGTAATTCCATAACAGTATAATGAAGAAATCCAAAATGTATTCTAAATACCGTATATTACTTGGCGAAAAAATGACACATTGATTAAAGCTGTGATCAATGAACATCCGATGGAAAAAAACCGCTGTGTAAGCTATTCCTTATATTGAAAGACTGTCTAAAAAGGCTGTAGTCACAGAGGACTCAGAGGTAAATTGGTAAGAATTGGCAGAAGATATAAAGAACTGGAGGAGAACTTGTCTTACGGAATGATCTTAAAAGAGTGAAATCCGAAGCACAATAAGAAAAAGTACGTAAAATGTGCATTAAAAATCATAAAATATGCATTTATAAATAATATAAAATACAGGTCGGTAGATCGTGAGTGAGTTGACTCTTTTAGGTGAACTGAATGAATTGATTCATTGTGGTATAGTTCAGTCACACAATGAGTGCTACCGCTGGTTTAATACAATTCACGAATCACGGATGTGTGTTATTAGTTCCTGAATTGTTGGTGATATACAGATTTAGTTAATTAGTTGTATTTAACGAATACATATTAGTTAGCTTCCTCATAAGTCCGACAATATGCCTATATCACAATGTACATACTAATTATTAGACCAATTATTATTCGATGAATAAATGTGTTTGAAAAATGGGGCCTTAATGAATTGGGAACTTGGGAGTTGACTTCCCGAGTTAAATCATTAGAGCGAACTGAGTCAATTGAACAATTCATAGCATTTAGTTGAAAATCACTAATATAAAGTAATATAAAATATAGTAGTAAGTATATTATTAAAAAAAAAAAAGGACGAGCATACATGACACATGGGTGCAACTATTGTTATAGATGGGAAGTTGGAAAGGTAGGATATAGACAGGAATTTAATGTATATCGTAAGCAAAGATGAACCATTGCTGACGAAAAAACAATTCTAAGCCAAGTTCAGTTGACAATGTTGATTTTTCAAAAACACAAAATATGGTATTATATCATATTATGGTAAAATGATTTAAATAATGTGCGTTTCCATGACAAGAATGAATGTTTAAAAAGTATTCAAATAATAAAAACTTAATAATAACAAAAAATAAATTAAAACGGTTGCCAATAACAACATAATTTTTTATCTTTCAATTTTTTTTCAACCCAAAGACCCAGGTTTTCCTCATTGTCTCGAATATTAATGAGAATTTCAAAAAATGACTTCTCTAAATTAACACCCAGAGAAAATTTCCTTTCGGAAAAAGTGCTATATTTGAAAATCGGAGTAATCTTTCTAGTAGAAAATATGTTCATTTAAAAAAAAATAAAATAAACATCCATTGTAAAACCAATACATTCCTCGTTTCACTCAGATTCTAAAACTATTTTGATTATACAAATTGAAATCCATATGCCTGTACAATTACATATTTGGGTACTGTCTGATAATTTTTCCCATTATTGTACCAAGAAAAATTCAAAATCAGATTACTAGTATTATACACTGAATGTTTGCTAGGTAATCCTGATAATCTTACTCGTATTTAGATATAATTTTATGTACAGTCGAGTCCTGATAATTCAAACTTTTTTGTCCTTTTGAAATTCTTATATACTAAATGCCAAAACAAGTTTAAGGTAAAATCATTGTACATAGATAAGTCAAAGTCAATAATATCTAAATTGTATCATCAGAACTGGTTTAAAATAATAAATTTACATATTCAACTATTATTTTACTGCGAAAATAATGAAAATAATGAACAATTAACTGATTTAACTTCTAGCTACCTTGTGTACCTCGTGTGTACAATTATTGTAGTAAGCATTATTTGTTATATCTCGTAAATTGGTTACATTAACAATTGTTGGAAAAGTGAACATAATCTATGAGGTAACTAAAAGTGGTAAACCTAAAAAGCTGTTCTAGGATAATGGGGACGGGTGCATCTACTGTTATAGGTAATTTAATAAGAATTTAATATATACCTGTAAGCAATGATTCATCCATTGCTAACGAAAAAAAAGATTCTAAAAAACGTTGCGTAGTGCAGTTGAAAATTGGCAAAATAACTAAATAAGCATTATATGTTTTCTTTAATAATATTTGTATAATGTTGTACCGATTTTCCTGTTTTTTCCGATTTTACAAATTTTCTAAGAAAACTCCTGAGAAAATCAAAAAATTACCTCCTCAAGGAACTTCCTCATATCGATTTTCTTTCAGAAAATGTGCTACATTTAAAAATCGAAGAAAACTTTCTGGTAGAAAAGTTGCGCACAGAAAAACAACATCTTTGCAAAATCATAAGCTTCTCTTTGCGACACTCATAATCTAAAATAAATTGATAAACAATTTAAAATTTCACTATGTACACTTTAAACCGTAATGAAAAATAAAGACTATATTTAAAAAAAAAAGTACAAAACTATTAAAGGGACTATGAAAAGAATGAAGATGCTTGAATATCCGAATATAGTGGTCAGTTTACATAATTGGTTTTTACAATATCAGTATTTAAAGGTTTCAATAAATGGGGCAAGTTTTGAAGAAGGTTACCCTACTTGGTCACAAAACGTTTAAATCTAGTCAAGGTTGGTTAAGTAATTGGAAATTTAGTAACAACGTCGTTTTCCTAAAATATGTGGTGAACATATTTTTAGTTAATCAATCAGGTATGTACTGACTGGTTAGTAAAATGGGTTGGAAAAATTTGGTTTAGTGACCCGAAAAAAGTATAAATATATGTAAAATATATAATAATAGCTAACTCGAATTTGAAAAAAAATTCGAGTTATATAACTCGAAATATACATAAGTCGAATTAATTTTTAATTCCCTTGGAATTCATTTTATGGACACTCGATTGTGTTACCGAAAATCGTATGTGTGCATTTTATCATATAATATATTGCGGTGAACAAATTAATATGTTCGTTGAATGAATTGGAAAATAGTTATGAATAAAAACAAATTGTTACCAAAAAAAAAAAAACAATCGAATAAATATGTGCATTTCGAAAACTAAAAATAATGCAATATTATATCAATTATACATAATATAAAAATTATATAATTATTCAATTATTTTGAATTTGATTTAATTAATAGGAAAAAATACAATTAATTTTCTAAATATTCGAGCTCTAGTTATAAAACTTACCTATTTATTATTTCTCTGACCAATTATTTTACATTCCATATCTAATTCCAAGAGACCAGAAAGTAATTTCCGTTTAAGCATGTAACACGTTTTCGTTTTAAAAAGAAAATTGAAATTAGGTATGAATTGTTTACCTTTTATTTAATTTGATTTTAATTCAATTATTCTTTTAATTATTTGATTGAACGGGTTATAAATACAAATTGAAAATCCCCAAAAAGGGTATAAGGGTATTTATTTATTTTTTTTAAGTCGTTTATAATACATTTTTCAGAAAAATATGCATGGTAAATACCAGTCATCAGTTTGCTCGTGTACACAACCTGACAAAAACCACCCCATGAAAGGCTACATCTTGATCCAAAAGATAAACGGGTCCGAAAAATTATTCCCGAGCATCCACGAGGACAAAACGCCGACGGCTACCACAGAAAAATAGTTTCGACGCACGGTCACATTATCCCAATACTCCATGAATATAATAATTCGCGTACGTGACGCCATCATATTTTGAATGCGTTTTTGTTTTCTCGAAATTCAAACTAATTCTTAATAAATTTATGATATATCTGAATTCATGAGCTTTTTATTTGATTTTAAGATTCTTAACATTAGTGGATTTTTGTTATTTATCATGCCTTGTTTGAACAAGTGTCGAGGTTTAATGTTAATGTTCCTGCAATTTTTAACGAGAAATAGGAAAGATTGTTGAGAACAACTTTGATCATACAGCGAAAAATGAATGTGTACATATGTTTTTAGATGCAGCACACATGCATAATCTGTGTAGGAAAACTCTTGGAGACTAGAGATGTTAGTATGATGATAATGGAAATCCCATAATTGAAATATTTTGAAAAACTTGTAGCAATACAAGACGGTCTCCATTTTGCTACAAAAATTAGAAAAAGACATAAATTATTTTAAAGAAAAAATGTTGGTAAGGTTAGGTGTACAGATATTCAGTCAAATTGTAGTTGATGCAAAGGCATATTGTACAAATATTCTAGGACTTGCAGATTATAAAAATTATGAATTAAAATTATAAACTATTAAAAATATTTTTGATTTCATAAATATCCAAAATTACCAAGTAAAGCAGCTTATAAAAACTATATAAATATTCGAAACTTTATACAATCATTAAAACAATTTGTAACTCGGGACGTATAGATTCATGTAATCCCCGTTCCATGGGACTCTTTCCCACATGGGAACTAGTGTTGAATCCAGGTATACTCCAGGGGGGGCGACCACCTTTCCTGGAAAAATTTTTGCTCCCCCCTGTTAAATGTGGTTGTAAATAAAATTGTGTTGATTGAAATATTAAATAATAAAATAATTTGACTGGTTTAATAAACGTTTACATAGACGGTCAAGTATATTATCATATATCATAATATAAAGAGATGATTATATAAAGAGCACAGTGTTCCTTGTTTAAATAAAGGCTTAAAATCACTGTTTTAATGTATATGTTATTATACAGATACTATAAAATCTATTTTTATTTTCAAAAAAAAAAAAAAAAGGAAAAAGGAAAAGGAAAAAGGAAAAAAAAAAGAAAAAAAGGAAAAAAGGAAAAAAAAAAGGGAAAAGGAAAAAGGAAAAAACGCTTTCTGAAATAACAACCAATTGAATAATAAACCCAAATAATAACGAGAAAATGAACCCAATAGAAGATATGATCTATAACTCCGGAGTCTACAGTGGAAGATTCATAAAAGTATTCGGAGTCAATAGCCCCCATTGGTTTAGCTCTAACTGGCATTCACGTGAGTTAAGCCTTAGACATGACATGGTAAAACTATTCCGATAGAACAGGCCGGATTTAAACCAAACAGGAATTGCTGAGACCAAGTTCTGTCGCTGACCGCAAACATCGAAGACGGCTTTGAAAAAGGGTTGAAATCCACAGCAGTCTTCATAGAACTCACGGCGGCTTATGATACCGTATAGCGCGAAGGGCTTACAATTAAACTTTTACGAGTTATACCATGTAAAACAATAAGTGGTATCATAAATAGTATGCTGAGTAACAGATTTCTCACTGTTATAATAGGTAATAGTAAAATTAAGCAAAGAATACTAAATAACGGACTGCCACAAGGCTCTGTATTAGCTCCCTTACTATTCAACTTATACACCAGTGATCTAACAAACACCAAGTCCAATAAGTTAATTTACGCAGACGATATAGCTCTCCTTTGTCAAGAAAAGACATACGAACTTTGCGAAAAATACCTCACACGGAAGACCTGAGCGAATTAAATAAGTACTGCAATAATTGGAAGCTTACACCAAACCCAACTAAAACTGAGGTTACACTGTTCCATATCAACGACAAAATGGCAAGACAGGAAATAAAGGTGGTCTTAAATGAGCAACAAATTAGGAATAACCCAAACCCAACCTATCTAGGAATAACATTGGACAGAAAGCTGACATACAGAGAACATCTAACCAAGGTGCAGCAAAAATTAAAACTCGAAACAACATAATAAATAAGCTGGCCCAAACTACCTGGGGTTCAGATGCGAACACGATTATCTGCACTCACCTTCACCTACTCGGTAGCTGAGTACTGTGCACCAGTATGGCTTAACAGCTCACATACAAGTAAAATAGACACCCAATTAAACGCAACGATGAGGACAATTTCCGGAGCAATTAAGTCAACACCAGCCTCTTGGCTACCAGTATTGAGTAATATAGCGTCACCTCATCTCCGAAGATACTATTCCCTAGTTCGTGAATATAACAACCATGCCTTAAATCGAAGTCTACCCATACACAAGTACATTTACAATAATCCCAGCCAAAGATTAAAATCTCATAAGCCTCCTTGGAAATTGGCTCAAAAATTAATTAATGAAAACTATAACCTTAAATCTAAATGGACTGAAGAATGGAGACTAAATAATCCCGACAAATTTAACCTCATAGAACAACCTATAGAAAAGGTTCCGGGGTTCCAATTACCCCGGGAGGAATGGGTGACCCTAAATAGACTTAGGACTGGCCACGGAAAAACGGGAAATATGCTTCATAAATGGGAACTTAGGGATACACCACAATGCGACTGCAGACATGAAACTCAGACAGCCAATTACATTGTGGAAGTATGTATGGCTACAACAGCAGCAACAAACTGGCTGACTAATCTGGACATTGGAATCTAGGACAATGTAAACATTATCCCGACTTATATTCTATCTACTTGAATAATTATTACTACATAAGCTTGCGTATCTTATTAATTTATATTTATTTTTTTGTTTTTTTATTTATTTTTATATTTATATTATCTATATCATTTATCTGCAGTGTTTGTTGTTATTGTAACGATATCTTTTTATATTTTTAGTGTTGGATCTAAACCATACGAAATATATATATATATATATATATAATATATATAACACATTAAATTTTTTGAAGTTCAATTATATTAATAACTCTACTTCTTAGAGTGCCCCCCCTAGAAAAAATATCTGAATTCAACACTGATGAGAACACACAGACTTATTGATCATGTCATGTTTATATGGCTACAAGATGTGTGGTGTAATGTCATATAATGAGAGTGAAACTAGTCGTAGTCGGTTATTTAGGTAATTTATGATGTTTAGGTAATTGGATTATGAATGGAGGTTGGGCATTATATATAGAATGATAGGCATAAATGTTGTGTAATGTAGTAAATATGTGCTGCTTGTAAGGCCGGTGTGTGTAGCTTGTAAGGTAGTTTAGGTGGTCGGGGTGAATCGTGGAGCAGCGTTAACATATCAACATGGCATACAATAATCGCATCCATCGGTAGTAATAGTTTATAAATTAAATAAATTTTCAGAAATTTCCGTTCGTAATATCTTACTTGGTTTAGTATTCAGATTTCCCATAGCTTTTCTCTTACATCCATTTGAATAAATTTTGCGTTCTATATTTGGTTAATCGTGGTATGTTCATTTACAATTTCAACGATTTGTACAATATTCTCTAAAGTGTGTACACTTTTGCAGTGCAAGTTTTGAAAGGACAACGTCATCGTATTGAACAATTTTTAAATTCATGTACTTTTCGATTTGTTAAATTTGCAAAAAATAATAAATCCAAGTTACTTTTAATAATTTCACCAATATGTTACTATATGTATCCAATGTGTATTCATTACTAAAATTAATGCACATGCGATTAATATTGGACTAACTGTAAATATCAAGATACTATTATTCAATAATGCCCTGTATTTTATTAATAAATTGATAATTTTTATTAGATATAACATATTAGATGATTATTTATTTCTACAATACAACAATAGTATATGTAAAGGAACGCGTCGCTATTATAGTGCAATTGTAAATATTTTATCGGCTGGTAAATTCCAAGTTTTACGTAAAATTCCGATAATAGCTTAAAAAATGTTTAACGATTCTCTTATAGGTGATTACCTGATTGTTATAATCTTGAATTCTTGATAAATAGTGTAATAAAAATTATCTTTGTTCATAATTTCTTATTAAATCGTTGTATTTATTTAAAGCTGGTTAGTCATTAGTAGTCCCCATCGCCCAGTGCCCTTAATTGGGTGCTGCAATAGCCCCACTCTGATATTAGGTGATCGGAGTGGCCTGGCCCTCCAGGTTGGGGGTTGATCAGTGGGCCAACAACCCACTATCGTAAAAAACCATTGTTCAGGAATCCAACATATTGCCTCGGGACAGAATTAAGGAATCAAGACTGGAAAACTGGAAATCGGCTTTACGTTTTGGAACATGGAATATACGGACTTTATATCAACCAGGAGCAGCCTTAACATTAGTTAAGGAATTTAATAAGCATAGGTTAGAGATTTTAGCTATACAAGCAATAAGGTGGAGCGGACAAGGCTCTACATAAATAGGGAACTCGATAATTTTCTTAAGTCAATGTGACAATTGCAGACAAGGAGGCACCGGCTTTATCGTTAAAAAGAATATAGCATCCGCAATTAAAGATTTCAAAGTAGTGAACTCCAGACTGACTATCCTCATAGTGGAAGGAAAATTCTTTAACATTGCATTTGTCAATGCACACGCACCATCTGAAGATAAAAGTGATGAGGAAAAGGAGGAATTTTATTCACTGTTGGAATCCACGTTAGAGGGAATACCCAGACACTGTATCATAATTTTATTAGGGGTTTTTAACGCAAAGATTGGTAAAGAAGAGTTCTTCAAAACAACAACCGGATCAAATAGTTTACATCAGCTATCAAATAACAACGGATTCAGATTAACCGAATTAGCTACAGAAAGGGGCTTAAAAATAAAAAGCACATCATTTCCACATAAGGAAATACATAAAGGTACCCGGAGGTCCCCAGATGGCAGATACATTAACCAAATTGATCATGTATTGGTGAATACGAGATTCAGCAATAGTGTACTAGATGTAAGGACCTTCTGCGATGCAGAATGTGGATCTGATCACTTCCTAGTTGTAGGGAAACTTAAAGTGAAACTGAAGAAAGCAAAAAAGAGAAAAGAAGAACAAACAGAACTCTTTGATATACAAAAACTATGTGACCTTAAAATTTGTGAAGATTTCTGTAAGAATATATCAAACGAGTTTAATAATGAACATATAGATAACGAGAATGATGATATCGAAAGCTTATGGTCTGCTATAAGAAATGTGATCCGCAAAGCGACAAAATAAACAGTTGGGAAACGACGATCTATGAGGAATCCGTGGTTTAACCAGATATGCGAAAATGCCCTACAACGTAGGAAACAAGCGAGGGAAATTTGGTTAAAGGATATTCAAAATGAAGACAAATTCTCTAGATATAAAACAAGACTAAAAGAAGCAACCAAAATTATAAGATGCGAGAAACAAAAATTTATCAAAGACATAGTGAAAAGTGCGGACCAGGACTATAAAAATCACAGGACACGAGACCTATACAAGAAGATCAGCTCTTTAAGCAAGGTTTTTAAACCGAAAGAAGTGTTTTAAAGAAACGAAAATGATACTTTATTAACGGATAGAGGCGACATAGCCGAGGAATGGGCTCAATACTTCGACCAGCTGCTAAACTGTAGAGAACCCTCTAATCCATTCCTCTTTGAGAATAAAGAACCGAATAGAGAAGATTATCCCGAACCTATGATAACAGAAATTGCGAAACAAATAAAAACCCTAAAAAACTACAAGGCGCCCGGTGAAGACGGGATTACCGGAGAGCTACTTAAAACAGGTGCGGAGAATCTTGTTAAATATATTCACCGTTTAATAAGTTTAATATGGCAAAAAAAAGAGATACCAAAGAAATGGAAAACAGCCTTAGTCTATCCCATCCACAAGAAAGGAGACAAACAAACATGCAACAATTATAGAGGGATTGCCTTGCTTAATGTAACGTATAAGATTTTATCTTACTGTATACTTGACAGAATCAAACCTTGGGCAGAAGAGATTATAGGAGACCAGGCCGGTTTCAGGCAAAACCGCTCCACGATAGATCAAATCTTCATTCTATGTCAGGTGTTACAAAAACTTGGGAGTATGACAAAAGCGTACAAAATATGGTTTTTATTGATTACAAAAAAGCATATAATTCAATGTATAGAGCGTCTCTAATCAAGACTTTAGAAGAGTTCGGAATGCCTAGCAAGTTAATAAGCCTCGTCGAGTGCAATATAGTCACACCGACATAAAGGTAAAAGTAGGATAAACCTTATCGAAAACGGTTCAAGTGACAACTGGACTATGGCAGGGTGACGCCATATCACCGGTTAAATTCAACATAGTATTAGAAAAAGTAGTTAGAGAAGCAGTCTTAGATAAGGAAGGAGTAAAACTAGGAGAAAATAACATTGGAATATTAGCATATGCAGACGATATAGTGTTGATGGCAGAAAGCAAAGATAAACTTAAACAACAATCAAAACAACTCATAAATGCTGCTAAACGTGTAGGCCTAGAAATTAACGCTGAGAAAACTGAGTATATGGTTGTGCAAAGACATGAACAAATAGGCTGCCGTAACGAGGTCCTAGAAGTCGAAAACTACAAATTCAAAAGAATGCAGCAGTTCAAATACCTTGGCACACTAATTACACAGCAGAATGAAATAGGTACGGAAATAAAAGCAAGAATACAAGCTGCCAATAAATGCTATTTTGGCCTGAAAAAGCTATTAAAATCTAGAGTAATCTCGAAGAATCTGAAATCCCAAATATACCGGACACTTATCAAGCCAGTGGTGACATATGGGTCGGAAACTTGGACCATGACGAAAAAAGACGAAAATGCTCTTTTAGTGTTTGAAAGAAAGGTACTGAGGAAAATCTATGGACCACGTATAGACGAACCTACAGGTGAATGGAGAATACGGAAAAACAAGGAACTTCAGAATTTGTATCAAAGACCAAATATTAAAGAAGATATCACCAAAAGAAGACTGAAGTGGGCAGGACAATCTTGGAGAAAAACAGGGTCATTGATAAAAATAGTACAAGCGAATGCACCGAAAGGAAAACGACCACTTGGAAGGCCGAGGTTACACTGGGAAAATAAAATCAAAGAAGACATAGAGAAAGTGAGACCAGGATTGGATTGGAAGGAGTTAGCCTTAGATAGGGAAACATGGAGACGAATCTGTTGAACGACATGGTCTTGTAGGCCGAAGTCACGGAAGAAGAAGAAGTCGTTAGTCGTCCGTCGTGAAGCAAATTTATCATACTTACATTTTTATTTAAACCGAAATTTATTTTATACGCCCTCTTTAAACGTCACTGGTATTCCATGTGTTGCGCAAGTATAATGGATCGTTTTTTAATTAAGAAGACTAAGTTAAGTGAGGAATTGTTTTCCCAAATACAAGTGCTCAAAGTGTCGATGTTGAAAAATTGACTGGTCCTAGTTCTATGAATGCCATTAATACCAAAAATCGATCACAACTGAAAAACTTAGAAGACGACATGAGGGTATGCTTGTCAACCATTCGACCACGAATAAAACTTATAATGAAGGGAAACTAGGCAAAAATATCTCATTAGGACTAAATTTGTATAAACTAATCTTAATATATATAGTTTTCCAAATCATTAATTTTAACATTTGTAATAAATTGAAATATAATTTTACATGAATTTTCGTAACCTAAATAAACACATCATTTTAAATTATTTACTAGTAATTTACTTATTTACAACTATTTTGGTATAAATATGGTAAAATCCTAATATAAAAAATACAAAAATATATATATAAATAAGTCAGTGTCAAGTGTGCCACAGTTAAATATAGGTTAGGATTAGTGTGCCGTGAAGGAAAAAGGTTGGGAAACGCTGATCTAGGGCATAGAAGCAGATAATGGATAACAAAACTGGCCATTGCGGTCAGCTATAAAGGCACCCTCCCGAAACTTAGGTGCAAAGCAAAAGTTATTGCTATACTTAAACCCAATAAATCAGGTAATGATATCAAAAACTACTGGCCCAAATCACTTCTGTGAGTAGTTCAAAAGTCATTTGTAAGGATGTTACTGAAGCAAATTCAGTCACTATTAGAGAAAGCGCTACCGGCGGAACAGGCGCTTTCAGAAGTGGTAGGAACTGCTGTGGACAAGTGCAATAACTACTCTCGTTTAAAATGGGTTCCAAGCAAAGGAAAAATCTGATGCAGTTTTCCTAGACCTGTCATTAACCTACGACACGGTCTGGAAGAGAGGTCTTTTTGTTCAAACTAGCGAGAATCATAAAATGTAAAGCGACCTTAGCTCTAATGGAAGGCTTACTGTCAAATAGGAAATTCAAAATCTGCCTAAATGAAGTTGTAAGCCATATGGAACCTCTCCGAAACGGCCTCCCGCAAAGCTCGGTTCTCTCTCACATTCTTTTCAAAATTAACACAGTGGATATTCCGAAAACAACCTCAAGTTAATTAATTTATGCCGACGATGTGGCATAATGAAAATCGTTTGAAGAATTAGAGAAAACTCTCGGTAAGAATTTACTTAAATTAAGGAAGTACTTTGATAAATGACATACAACACTAAACTCCAGTAAAATCGTTGCCACAGCGTTCTACCTAAACACTCGAGATGCAAGAAGTTCGCTATAATTAACCGTTAACAATACCAGTATAACAAATGACGAGTACCCCCGTTATTTGGGAGTTAAACTAGAAAGAACCCTTACAGACAACATATTGATGCCATGAAGAACAAGCCGAAGTCCAGAAACTGCTCTTTAGCGGACCAGAATACGACTACAGTTACGTCGTTTTCATACCTTATACATTATGCGTTTGTTATATCTAAACACATTGAAGCATTTAGTCTATTTTAGCAAATTTTGCAGTTTTCATTGTTCTACTGGAGCAGCGATATTAACGAAAATAATTGTTATTTCTCATTAATGATACTTAAAATGTGTATAAATATAATGTGTAATATATGTATATGTCGTATCCACTTAGTGTAATCGTATTTTTCATGAAATGGAAACTCTTATTTTACACTTTGTGTAATATTTTAAATTAATTACATCAATAGGTAACTTTTCGTGAAATCGAAATAATAACATTGATACTGGTACGTATCTCACCGTACTATATTTATTATTAATAAATAGTAAAGATGAGATATCGACCGTTCAACAGATAAATTTTAGTCGATAAAATATATATTTAATCAAAATTAAATTGAATCAATTGTATAAGTGTGATACGACCAAGGCATTCTGGAAAATCTGTATATTATATTATTTTTATATGATGCCAGTACGTCCTTTAACTTGAAGCGAGCCGTATATTAGCGTTAAAATGGAATTTGATTAATTTTCTGAATTTTATGAACAGTTAAATGCATACTACGTAGACAAGCCTGGGAAAAAGCCACCTACCAAAATTGACGTTCAATTATGGATTGAAGACATTTTAGCAGCAAAAGTAAAAATGTAAGTAATCGTTAAAATATACAAAATATTAGTAAATAAAAATTATATATTAAGACACTTCAAATAAAATTATTACAATCAGCCATCAGGGCTTGTCTTACAAACACGTAACATAGCAAATTTACGCTCAGCAGTTCACGTTTTATTCTGTTGGATTAAAAATTAGATAATAAATATTTAAATAATAATATTTAATATTTACATGAATTATTAGTTTATAATTTGAAATTTACATTATTTTATAGTGGTAAAAAAAAAGGCTAGATTATTATCTTATCAAAACGTATGATGTCCTGTTCGTTACAGATAAGTTTTTGATTTATAAAAAAACTAATGAAGATGAAGACATAAGGTAATTTTTGATTTGGTTTTTATAATTTGCAATCTGTATTATTGATTTAATTATTTTAATCAGGTACGTTGTACTATACGAAGAGTTATTAAGGATTTTCATATTAAAACGGGGCATGGTGGAATTGTTAAATTACGTATGTCAATGGAACATAAATACAAAATTCCGAGACCAGCAATAGAAAAGTTTTTGTCTGTATGTGCAATATGTAATTCCAAGCAAGGAGCAAATCGGAAACTAGTTATAAAACCGATTATAACTAAAGATTTTAATGAAAGGGGCCAAGTCGATTTAGTCGATCTCCAGTCAACACCTGATGGTAAATATAAATGGATCATGAATTATCAGGACCACAATACAAAATTTGTATTATTGCATCCACTTTAAAGCAAACGGGCTATAGAAGTGGCAAACAGATTACTCATTATTTTACTTACATTTGGGGCTCCTAAAATACTTCCAATTGATAATGGATGAGAATTTGTGAACTCCATTATTAAGGAATTATAGGATCTGTGGCCACAATGTGTGTCCACGGTTGACCACGTCATCCCCAAAGTCAGGAAAGCATTGAAAGAAGTAATCAAGACATTGAGAATATGATTCGTGCTTGGATGATGGATAACCAATCTAAAAAATGGTCAGTTGGATTACAATTTGTACAGTTTCAAAAAAATTCGTCTTTCCATCGAACAATAGGACGACCGCCGTATAAAGTTTTATTCGGATGTGACCCGAAAATTGGATTGTCATCATCAAATCTTCCACTGGAAATAATAAAAAAACTAACCACTGAAGAATATCTTGAAGAAATTTTAAATAATATTCAACCTGAACATGAAAAAGAAGGAATTACATCATATTGTAGCATTTGCAATATAGAAATGTTAACTGAGATTGAATTTTTCGAAACTGTTATTTGTGATTTATGTAAAACTAGTGAAAAAATAAACAAACAACGTCAACTTGGATCTCAAGGACAAGAAAAGACGGCAAAATCATGTTAAAGGTGTCTTTTTAAATCATTTTACTTATTTAATCTATTTTTTTGTTTAAAATCATTGTACTATCATTGTTTTTAGGGCAGTCAAACCAGAATTCCTGATTTAAAAATCGGTGATTGCGTCTTAATAACAGTGCCTAAAGTCGATCGAGGACCGTCAGATCTCGCCAATGTAATTGCAGTTATTGTCAATCAGAATGAACATAAACTTCACCAACTCGGAACTAAATATGGTTTAGTAAAAGGCTGGTACAATTCAGCAAGTTTGAATCCCGCGACATCTAATTTTTTTAAAATTACTGAAGTTAATAATAATAAAGAACTTACATTACGTGAAAGAGTTTCTTATATTTCTGAGGGACAAGGTATTTTAAGTTGTATCTGTGAACACCAATGTGAAACAAAACGGTGTGCTTGTTTTAAAGCTTCTGTTAAGTGTAACAGTCGTTGCCATAGCAGTAATAATATTTGTAAAAATAAGTAGTAAGAAGTATTTTTGGTTTTTTCATGTTACCTATTGATGTAATTAATTAAAATTTATCTGGTGAACGGTCGATATCTCATCTTTACAATTTATTAATAATAAATATAGTACGGTGCGATACGTATCAGTATCAATGTTATTATTTCGATTTCACGAAAAGTTACCTATTGATGTAATTAATTTAAAATATTACACAAAGTGTAAAATAAGAGTTTCCATTTCATAAAATGGATAAAATATATGTCCGTTTCATGAACTAAAATTTGACTTACACGTAATGAACATCCATTTCATGAAAAATACGGTTACACTAAGTGTATACGACATATACATAAATAGTGAGGGAAAAGGGTTGGGAATCGCTGCTTTAGATGAACTAGGAGACATCGGAATATTTGCAAAGGCGTAATGAAACTCATGTAGAAGCCGATAAAGCTATTAGAACAATAATTAGAGTATTTGATTCGATGGTATGTGAGCCTGGACATAAATTAGGTATCGCTTTAAAAGCGATTGAATTTGATATTTATAAAAATGTTCCCATTCAAAATGGGAAGGTAAAACAAATTAATACGAGCCAACTACACAGAGGTTTAGCAAATAATTTAAGAAATCGGATGATAACAACAAGTTCATCACATGTAAGCGGTCAAAATGAAAAACATCAACAGGAGAACACATATAACTATACAGATTTAGTCGATTATCTTAGCGTATTAGATCCTAAAAAATGGCCTATTTCCGATAATGATGAAGTCGAAAATATTACATTTGGAGATGATAAAATAAATACGTCACTTGTGTCGCCACTTTCAATTAAATAAAGAAAATGAAACTGTTCAAAGTTTTAAAATATACAAAATGGAAGAAAGAAAAGAAGGTGTTTCGGATGACTTACAAATACTTTTTAAAACCACAGCTACTATTCCTATTTCTACAAGTGAATGTGAGCGCGATTTCAGCTCAATGAATGAAATTATAACACCCCTCAGATCTTCATTAAATATTAGTACAGTCTCTGCACTTTTATTTGTTAATTGTGTTGATCCTTCACTCACTGATTTTCATCCTGAAACATATGTACGCTCATGGTTAGTCAAAGGTAGAAATTCTGCTAATGACACTGCTAATCGCAAACGTAAAAAAAAAATTGAAAAATACTCAGCATTATGGAAACTATTATAAACTGTCTATCAAATTTGGATTGTTAAATGTTGCCGTTGTTATTAATTTACGTGGGAGAACAGAAAAAGTCTCCGAGGAAAAAGTACAAATTGGAATATTTTAAATAAAACTTATATAATCATTCTGTATAATATGTTAGTTTGGTGTAGAAAACCGCAAATAAAATGATAAAATCTATTATTCACTTAATTGTATACCTAATAAACGTTAGGTTGTTATGGAAACGTTTATCAGGTAAGTAGGAAATACATTTTTATACCTTGAATACATAGGGTTGCCATCCGTCCTGATATATCAGGACTGTCACCGATATTGAGCTCTCTGTCCCGACGTCCCGACAAAAGATCAAAATGTCCTGAGTCATAAATCCCAAACAAAAAAATGTTTTTTTTAACTTATTACTTACTGACCAAACCGGCGAGCTCCGTTATCTCGTGGCGCGGACTATAAAATCCAATTAACCTAATAGTCCCCAACGTTGCGTAAACGAAACTTTAAAAAACATAGTTTTTTTGTTATTTTGTTATTGAACGAAATCACTTTTAAGCTGTTATAATTTATTCTCAACAGAACAATAGTTACAAAAAACTATAAATAAGTCAAAGACAGCTCTCCCAAAGTGGAAAAAAGAGGTTCCAATTTATACAACAGAACCACGGAATAAAGAATAAAAAATTATCAAAAATATCACAATTAGACTTTAAGTCCTACATGGCAGTCGCTCTTATGAAAATGAATGAACCAGTCATTGAAGATAATATACAAGGCCAAGTTATTGCAGGACCAAGTAACCAAATAAATTTGCCTTCGAATCCAAATTATAAACAATCATCAAAAAGCGCATTACCTATGGAAGTTCGAGTTGATAATGTCGGTCACGTGATTGTAGAAGACGAAAATAAAGCAAGAAGACGATGTAGATAGTGTAAAAATAACACTATGTACATGTGTGTCAAGTGTCGAGTGCATCTTCACGAAAACTGCTTTGAACAATTTCACACTAAATAATATAAATTGTTAATCCCAATGTTGTGTATACGCAACATTTTATTATAGAAAAACTAAAAAAGTATAATTTTTTTTGACTTGATAAATTGTTATTTTAGTATATATTAAACTAATAAAATACACTGAAAACATAAAATTTGTTTATTTCTAACCTTGGAAACTAATGGGTTAAGTCGTTATCGCAATTGTTAATGTTATCGATTCCAAGTATGAAGAATTAACTTACCGAACGGCCAAACCAGAATGCAGGGAGCCTGATATTACAGAGATAGAAAGATCGCCTCCTAGTGGTACCCTCCGGACAACGATTCGTTTTCTTAAGACGAACGGCTAAAGATCTTTCAACTCGGTGGCCAAACTAGCTTATAACGCTCTCCTGGCCCGGTTACATGCAATCAAACCGAACTCAACCGAATCGAAAGATTCTACCCAAAAACGGCCCTTCTCAGGGCCATCGGACAAGAAAGATAGGGCCTACCCTACGCATTTGCCAAATCAATATTGAAGGTATTAGCAGATCAAAAAGTGACTAAATCTCCCGTATCCTCAGGGAACAAGACGTCGACATAGTGGCAATCCAAGAAACCCACACTCAAGATGAAACCCAACTCAATACCAGAGGCAAGATACACGGATACACTATAATCGGTGCTACATACTACCGCTCACACGGGATAGCTACTTACGCCCGAAATAACCTAGAAGAGATCAAGCTTGAAAGCGTATCAACCCTATACGACATCCATATCGTCAAAGTCAATGTCGGACAGACCACAATTATTAACGTGTATAAACCACCAACTACTATATGGCCAAACCACGTCCTAGGAAACATCTCCCATCCAACAATAGTCATTGGTGACTTTAACAGCCACCACGTGACTTGGAAGTATTCCAACAACAACATAAACGGAGAGATGCTCGTATCATGGGCTGAAACTAACAACGCCCATTTAGTTTTCGATGCTAAATCAAAAGGCACATTTAAGTCAGGTAGATGGAAAAGAGAGTATAATCTCGACCTCTGCTTTGTTTCAGTAACAACAAACAACTTACCCATAGCAGCCAGCCGAACAGTTATGAACGACTTCCCAAATAGTCAACACCGAACTATCCTAATTGAAATCGGGCTCCAAATCCCACTAATTAACTCTACTCCTTACCCCAGATGGAACTTTAACAAAGCTGCATGGGAAAACTATGCAAATGAACTAAACAAATGCATCCGGTTTATCCCACCTACACGTTCGAACTACAATAGATTTTTGGGACTCATCACTGCTATTGTTAAAAAACACATGCCAAGAGGCTATAGGAAAGTATACGTCCCTGGCTGGAACGAACTAAGTGAAAACCAATATTCAGAATATATGAACGGAAACATAGATGTGGCGGACGATCTTCTAATCAGCCTTGATAAATCCAGGAAGGAAAAATGGAATAAAACAATAACAGCCCTGGATTTTAGACACTCTAGTAGGAAAACATGGAGCTTACTCAAGATATTGGGAGATAAACAATACACTAGACGAAAGGATACATCAATCTCACCTAACCAAGTTGCTAACCACATAGTAAATGTATCGAAAATGCCTTCGAGCAAGAGACACACAACATAGATAAGAAAACGCCCTACTGACCTTAAAAAATAATGCACCCAAATCCACGAATTGTCTGCCCCTTATTTAGAAGCGGAAATTACCACAGCTCTAAAGGACCTAAAACCTGGGAAGGCTGCAGGGCCAGATGGGATGCACCCAGAATTTCTGATAAACTGTGGTCCTAACACCAGAAAATGGCTATCTAAATTTTACACTGATATTCAACAATCTGGGACACTGCCTCCAGAACTTAGAAAATCTAAAATAATTGCTATCGTCAAACCCGGGAAATCAAACGATCGCCCAGAAAACTACCGACCAATAGCACTACTCAGCGCGTGCTATAAACTACTGGAGAGAATAATATACAACCGAATAAGCCCAATTATACTAAATACCATCCCGGTAGAACAAGCCGGGTTCAGGCCGGGCCGAAGCTGTTCCGATCAAGTCCTCTCATTGACGACTTATATTGAAGCAGGCTTTCGAAACCGTCTAAAATCTGCAGCGGTATTTATCGACCTAACAGCTGCTTACGACACCGTCTGGAGGCAAGGCCTGTTGTACAGACTTCTTCATACTATTCGCTGCCGAAACACCGTCCAGCTAATCAACACTATACTTACTAATAGATCATTTAAAGTTCATATGAATGATAAAATTAGCAACTCCAGAACATTAAATAACGGCCTAGCGCAAGGCTCGGTACTAGCACCTCTATTATTTAATGTCTATATAGCCGACCTCCCAATGACTCACTCCATTAAATTCGCATACGCTGACGACCTAGCTATCGTAAACTCAACACATAGGCCTCAATGAAACTGAAAGAATACTCACAGACGATCTCAACACTCTAGGTAACTTCTTCCATGCCTGGAGATTAAAATTTAACACCAGCAAAACAGAAGCATTTTGTTTCCACCTCAATAATAAACTTGCTAGCGCTCAACTAAACATAACTTTCAATGGAAATGCTCTTAACCACAATTTCCACCCCAAATACCTCGGCATAACATTGGATCGTACACTCTCCTTCAAAACTTACCTCGAAAATACCGCTGCCAAACTCAGCTCTAGAAATAATATAATACATAAACTCTGTGGTACATCTTGGGGCGCTTCGGCTCATACCCTGCGATGTTCGGCTCTTAGTTTGGTCTACCCAGTAGCTGAATACTGTTCATCCGTCTGGTTAAACAGCGCTCATGTGTCAAAAATAAATACCCAACTCAACACTACTATGAGACTAATATCTGGTACAANCATTAATAGCAATTGCCCCCCCCCCACCACTCCGCAAAGTGAACGCCTTAGTTAAAGAGTTCTCAAAAATCAATCACGAACTACCCATTAATAATTTTATTTGTGATGCGACCAAAACACGATTAAAGTCCAGAAACCCCCCATCAAAAACAGCCAAAGACCTAATCAACGCAAACTTTGATATGATGATGAAATGGAAACAAATGTGGGCAGCTATGGTAGAGAATGATAACATTCTAGACAACATATTACCAGGACATATACCCACAAGATTTGACCTACAGCGCAATCTATGGTGTACACTTAACCGAATACGAACTTCGCACGGTAGATGTGCAGATTCCTTACACAAATGAGGCATGAGAAACTCACCAAAATGTGACTGTGGAGCAGAGAAGCAGACCATCTACCACATAGCTTTTGTATGTCCTATCTACGCCTATCGAGGTCCCAGAATCGACTGCCTCACAACCTCTTCCGCATTTATTAAATGGCTGGAAGAATTAGAACTAGATCTCTAATACCTTATTGTTGCCTTATTAATATTATTCATACTACTAATTACTCTATTTTGTTTTCTTTTTTTGTGTTTATTTTTATTTTATCCACCTGTTATACATTAATTAAACTTACTGTACGTTACCATATTAAAACTATAATGTATGTAACCACAAACCATACGCTAAATAAAAGCAAGTAGCCGTTAATCAAATTTCCCGACCATCGTCGACCTTTATGACGACAAAATTATAGTTTATGTATTTATTTAATTTTATGTTGTATCATATCGCCAACTATTGGGAGTTTTATTTTATTCCATTATAAAACGGGTCAATGAGCAATCTATAGTATTTATAATCAACACGTGGTAACACGTTAGTAACATGTCACTCGTGAATTTTGTATACGATTATACGAAAAATCACCTGATACCGCACATTAATCTAACATGTTGGATCATACGTTACTTTGGAATCATTTCTGAATTTTTGTTACTGACAACAGTAGCGTGTGCACTACTTTTGTCATGCCTAATTTGATCGCTATTGCTATCAGTGACCACGCGCAGGTTATTTTTTTCTCATTTTTTTTTTCGTAATTTTACTTTTACTGGTTGAAATACATTTTTAACTAAACAATTAAAGAATACACATATGTAAGTAGTTTTTATACTTAGTTAATTATAATTATATTGATTTATGTTATATTATACTATACTTAACTATTATTATTGTTATTATATAAATATTAGGGTGGTCCTTATTTATGAACTTTGAAATTGTTGATATAGGACCCCCTCACTTTTTTCAATGTTATAAGAAAATAATTTTATCTAATTTTGTTCGTGACTACTCACTTCCTTCCCGTGCCTCTGGGGGGTTGAAAAATAGCCAACAAGGGTGGTCTTATTTTTTCGACCTTCCAAATTAATATGATACTTAACGAAAAAATGTATAGAACTTAAATTGTAGAACTTAAAATTTTCAATAAAAAGTATAATTGTATTTTTTTATTGTGAGTATTATTTTCGAAGAAAAATAATAAAGTACAACATTTTAAATTTTTGTTATCAAATTGATAATTTGTAGTTATTTACATATATTTGGTGAACGAATAAAGTTATTAAAAATATGTTTCTATAAAAATTATGTGAAATTAAATTTCTTATTAAAAAGGTTACATGTCAAATGTTCATTAGATCCTTCGTTGCATTGTTTGGGTCAGATTTATTTAGAAATTATTTTTTTTGCAGTCCGGATAATGGCTATGGTAGTCACTGACTACTTGCAGTACTAATTGTTTTTGTTCTTCGTTTTTTGTTAACAAATCGTTGTAGTCTTCAATGAGTTTTATACCTCTTTCCGCAGCATCATTTACAACATTTAGTTTCTTTACAACCTCAAAAGCGTTTTGATAAGATTCTTTAACAAACAAAGTAGAAGGATCTTTTTGAAGGAAACTAATATCAAAATTGAATCTATTAAAAAATTCATTAGTTTCACTTGATATAAAATTTTCAATTTCATATTTCATAAAATCCGCAATAAATTGGTCATTTACTAGAACTCGTTTATTCATTTCAGGTGGTTCTTTCCCAAGTTTGAGATTTTGAACCATTTTTTTTTTTGTTTCAACTGATATATTAATATCAAAAAAAGCTAAAGCGACCGATTCAGGACTTAAATACTATAAATGATTTTTAAATTTATTAAATGAAACTCTTGATATACTTTCATCAATTGTTTTATAGTTATAAAGTTTTTTAATCAAATTTAGATCATTATAAAGTGCGGTCGAAATTAACGTTGCATTAAACCATGCTTCGATATATGCAACGACCAAAAATATTTAAATATCACATAGCCCTTTTTCTTCTGTTTTGGTTAATTTAAACTGATAGCGAAATAAATATATTTTTAGACAATATATTGCCGTAGCCATCCACCTTACGTGGTGAAAAGCTCCTGGTAAACGAAAAGATTGGTTAGCACCGTGACCAAGGAAAAACAATGTAAGTTCTAGTAACTCTCTATAGTCATCACGTGGTTAATTTTCAGTCAGTTTTGATTGGGCAAAAGAAACAATATGGGTAATATAAGGTTTGAGGATTTCATTTACTTTTTTATTTTCAATACCTGATTTAAATTTCGTTTTGTCAATATTTTTCCACTCTTTTTGGAATCTTTTGAAAATGGGTACATCGCAATCTACCGACTTCCTCATTTTTTTGTCAAAAACACTATGAAGAACAATTTCAAAAATGTGGCGCCGGCATAGTAAATATAGCAAATTTTTTTCCAAAAGTTGTTCCAATAATATGCATGTACCATTTAGTCAATCAGTGTATACCGCAGTTATATCGAAACTTAATGCTTTTATCGATTTTTGAATATTCCAATTTAATAATGTATCATAAATTGCAGATGCCTGCTCTTTTCCTGTACCACATTCTAACTATATCTAAAATATATTTATATTATAACTATATATATATCTAATATATCAATATCTGGAAGTTTTAATATTTGTCTACTTCTCCAGTGTTGGAAGAGGAGACCGTCAACTTATTTGTTAATAAAAAAATAATAATTCATGGTAGGTATAAATGAGATATTCTTTTTCTTTATTTGCATAGTAATTAAATATATTAACAAGTATTCAAATAGATTTTCGGATTATATAGCAATAATCAATTGCTAATTTTTTTATTATTTAAATTTTCTTTTAACAATAAATAGCCCGGTGAATCTTAACATTAATTTAATAAATAATTAGATTATTTTCAGTGTAAAAGAATAAAGAAAAAAGTAAAAAAAATGTACACACTTAATGTTAACGAAATAAAATATTTCTTATACTTGTAATTGCAAAACTGAAAGCAACACCTAACTAAGTAAAGGATTTACCTTTTTATATTGATAGATATAGATGTATACATGCAATTATTTTATGTTTGCGTGTATTTAAATAAACAAATAATAATAATGTATTCAATAGATATGCCAATCATTACGTAATCTACCTTTCTATATCTATACTGTGGGATTATATATTTATCTTAATAAATGGGAAAAATATAAAAAAAAAAAAAATATATAATATTGAATAAGTGGATAATCATATTCCTTTGCGAATTTTATATGAAACTGTTGTATGCTAATCTGATCTCCAGAGAGTATCGGCCTCGGGTATCGGCTTGTGCTGGATTGGTATACCCTCCTGAGTCGTCGCAACTGAAGTGGACACCTATATTTTTTATAACAATACGGTTCATCGTTAATCGTTTTTGATAGGACAATTTGGTTTTTCTTTTTGCTGTCTTAACTCCAAAACCATCGCCTTTAATTCGCCAATCATGTAGTTGTTAAAGGGGTTTTAAGGCCTATAGAGTGGTTAATTCACTCGCAACTGGTGAAATCAGAGTGAGGGCAGACGAAAGAGAATGGAGGAATTGCCCACACACATTAGATCTGTTTCAATAAACCTGCGGGACAGCATCGGGTTAGGTAAAATAACAAGTATATGACGAGAACCAAGAGGGTCGTCGTACAATTAAACGTGCTATTATATAAGCATGTACTCGCGTCGTGGACCTAAGTAGCGCGCCCATTAAAACGCATGTAACGTAAATTAGCCCGCAAATCATGCTCTCTGTTGGTATGGTTTAGGGTTACGTACTGTCGCCGCGCGGCCATTAGTAATCGATCTGCAACGTTTGGTTAACACTAACGGCAGAATATTGATATTGTTTTGTCTCATTGCAAAGTTCTTTTTCTATAAGATTTGTTCGTAAAAAATAATTGTATTGTAAATGGTATCTCTCGGGATATCATTCCGCATAAAGTGCTGATGCGTTATGCGAATTTTGATATATTCTCCAAAAATTAATACCACATCGGTATTTTTGGAAGAGTTGTTTGCCATTGTACAGAAAATATTTGATGTGTCACGCATAACTTACGGAAAACGTTTGACTTTAAACAGTTAATTTTAGAAAGATATCATATCTTAATCACACCAGATAATCCAACATTCATTATAACTAAAAACCGGATTTAATTGATATTGAAACTTTTTTTGCAATAAAGATAAATGAGATTTGATTAAATACATAGCCGATATGTACTAAAAATATTCCGCCTAATTAATTTTTTAATGTAATGTTTTAGTAATTTTTTGCAATTTCCCCACGTTTTTAAATCATGGTTGTTTATTGTTCGTCTGAAATTTATCAGAAACTTGGAGAGCCCAGCGAGTGATAAGCGTATATATATATATATATGGTGGTAATTAAATTCAACATAGTATTACGTATTTCTTTGTTAAGTTCCAAGTGCGAAAAACATTTAATTCCATTATTTTGGTACAGCTCAAAATGTTTGTATAATGTATACGTTTTCTTAAAAACTAAAGTCGATTATTATAATGACTAAAATTATCATACGTTGATGATTTTAAAGTCGAAACGGGTCTTAAATAAAACAATTCTAATAATATTACGTATTAAACTATAATATATACTATATTATGGGCTTTATATTCCTCATGTAATTTTTCTATTATTTATTTGATTTGTAGTAATAGTTGAAATAAAATAATGTATATTTTTATTTGAATATAATTCAAATTTTACACTCGTGATAGTTAATAATATAACAGACATACTAATATAGTGTTGATTCAAAAAAATATATATGTTCGAATGCGATTACAAATTTTAATTTTACCAACGTTTTATAATATTCCCATACTTTCGATCTCGTTGATAATTACAAATAACACACACGTGCATTTTTCGTACATAGGTACAAACTTGGAACTGTGGCAAAAAAAAAATTGGGTGTATACGACGTTAATCCACGAGAAAAGTGTTGTATAATCATTAGGGTGGTCCTTAAAATTGAAGATCAACATTTCAACTGCGCCACCTTCGAATTTGAAACTAAACCATAAAAAAATAATATCTGTGTAATTTTATAACAATAGTGCAACCCTAAGACGTGCCTCAAGAGGGTTGAAATTTCTTTTAAGAGGGTGTATTTTCGTTTTTTTTATATACCTCAAAAATTATTTTAATTAATGAAAAAAGTGTACATCATATTATTTGTAGACAATGAATTTATTTAAAAAATATATATCTAGGAAAAAAATTTTAGAACTTAAGTAGTATATTATTTAAATTAGTATTTATAATGTAAAATTTTAAATTGTTATAAATTTCCAAATGTGTTTTGAAAGTGTACTTCGTTTCGCGTCAGGATACTTATGCCGGTAGTCGTAAACTGTCTGCATCAAAAATTGTTTTTGTTCCTCGTCTTTAGTAATTTTGTCATTGAAATCAGTTATTAATTTCACTCCCCTCTCAGCTGCATCATTTACAACTTTAACTTGACTATGTACAGATATACTTTTTTGATAGTTGATATTTTTGTACCATTCCTCTGGGTTTTGGTTAAGGAAATCTGTAGCAATGTTAAACCTTTCAAAAAATTTCATCGATGAACTGTTGATAAAATCAGAAATTTGTAAACTTTTTAGCAATGTTAAATTATTCATCGGGGTAATATAACGTTTAATAATATTTTCATTTCCATCTTAAATTTTAAGTGAATCTACCATTTTTATTTTCATTGGCAAAGAAATATTTGAATCAAAAAATGAAAATGCTGCTGCTTCAGGATTTAGATAAATAGTAATTTCATTGCTTATCATATTCATAGCATCAGAGTGTGCTATGTCAAAAAGGTCCTCGAACTTTTCAATAAAGATATTTTCTTTTTTTATTTGCGTATCAGTTCNCAATTTGACTTCACGCATATTATGAAATAAAACCCTTAGAACTTGTTTATTTGAAGGTAATTTACAATCAAAAATTTGATGTGTTGTATGTTTAATTAAATAAATATTTTCACACAAATTATTTTTGTCTGTCATATTATTACAACACTTTAACATTAATTAAAAAAACAACAGAAAACATATAAATGAATAACTACATTAAACTAACGTAAAAACGAACAAAATAACACAAGAACGGTATCGTAATCGACGACCGTCCAACAACTAAATACTTACAAGCATAAATAAGCTTTATCGCTATAACATGTTATTTAATAATAATCTGTAGACGCTAATAGTTAATTGTAAAATCCCAATGATAATTTTATTTAGTTATTCACTATAATCTTAATAAAGATATAGTGGAATAATATAGTGGAACACCAAAGATTATCTACAATATCTACCTACTTAATTTGATTAGATAGTAAAACTATGATGGTTTAATACCTACAAACCCAACGTGTTAACTGTACGCCTAACGCTGTTAACCGAAATAATCATGTAAAATATATTAAATACGAGTTTTTTTTATTTTGTGTTGGAATGAGTAATTAAACAAAAAAAGTACAAGTTACATATTTTATAGCATATTCAATTTAAAAAATAATATGTTAAAGTACTTTTTTGCCTAACTTAAATATTTTAGGCCGAAATTGCAAAAATCGAAAAACCACCCTTCTTTGAACTTCAACCCTCCTGAGGCACGCCTTAGGGTTAATCAATATTTACAAAACTTCACACAGATCATTATTTTGTTGTTTTGAACAAATTCTAGGGGTGGCCCAATCAAAAATTAAAAAAAAAAATTTCATCGTCTATACATAAGGACCACCCTAATAATCATAGGTGTAACTAGATCTTAAAGGGGGACTTCAGCCCTAACATATTTAAAATAAGTTAGATAACTATTGCATCCTAAACTCAGTATTGACAAATTTATTTAAAATGTCTTCTTTGTTTAGAACATTTGACAAATCTTTTTCAATTGCTATGATAGATAACTTAGAAAAACAATTTGGTAATATAGTTGACCTTATGTAAGTGTTTATTCTACGCATTTCTGAGAATATTCTTTCACAAAATGCAGAACTTGTTAAACTGAAAGCGCTAAATAATTTGGGAAACAGATTTTTCCACAATATTCTTTAACTACTTTAAATGTTCTTGATGGTTGTTTGTCTTTTTCAATTGATTATCATAACAATTTTTTGTAACCAAAATTTCGGATTTAAATCAGTTTCTTTAATATTTAATAAAACCTGAAAACATAAGAAAACTAAATCTGACTAATTATAATATTAATGAATAATATTACCTACATGACTACATGATTTAATAATTTACCTTATACTGGTTTACATAAATTTCACTTTGTTTATAGTCTAGATTAATGAAGGTTTCAATTGATATGGCCAGTTTAAGACTTTCTGGTGAAACACTGTATTTCATGTTAACTATAATACAATCAATCATAGGATAAAAAGCATGTTTTTTCCAATATCTTTGGTATTATTATTATATTGAATACCGTTCGGTATTTGAAACATGAAAATCGTTTAATGCAGCAGGCTCTTGTCTTTTCTCTTTGATACTAAAAATAAAATTAAGTTTCACAATTTATGTATAATATATGGTATCATGTTTATTTTATAAAGTAGATATTCAAAATACTCACATGTAGGTACTACAGAAGGAATTTTCAAATCTATATTATTTTCAAAAAAAAATGTGACTATTTCATTCCAAATATTTGAGAATGGATCTGAATTTCTAATATTTTCAAATGTATTTATAATTCCATTAATAAGACAAGCTACTTCACTAAATGTCCCATTGGTATTTTAAAATTTATTGCTTAAAATACTAAACACATAATTTATAATATTAAAATTAACTTATTTAATCCAAGTTAATTTTGTTTTAAGATGAAATAATAGCTGACGAAAGAAAATCAGCATTTTTCCTAGAAGAAACATCCAGAAAACTCAAAAATACTCATAAATGTTGAAGTCTTTAGCATATCTTATACAAATTGACATATACTCTAATTTTTGATACCTAAACAGCCATTAAATAGGTATTAATAAAAATAAGATTTTAATAGTTTTAACTTAAGTCTTCAATAACCAATTACATTACTTCATCACACATAATTGAAAAAAAAGATAATTCATTAACTTTGTCAACAATAATATTCAATAAATTATCTACACAAATCTCAATTAGCTAATTTTGTATTTTAGGGCTAGAATAATCTATTACTTCATTACTAAATACATCATTGAAATTAGTCATAAAGAAGGTTAAACATCTCTTTAAAGTTTCCTTGAATATCAAAATTAATATTACACAAGAATAACACAAATTATTCTATATTAAATAAGATAAGTTAATTAATAATTATACCTTGGTTTAGTGAAGTATAGTTTTCATTGTGGCCTCTAAACTCTAAACCTTGACATGCAAGAAATAATAAAATATCAGTGAGACTTTTAATATAGTTTTGATTTTTAACTACAACTTTACGGTGGACATTACACAATGAAGTATGTATAAAACCAGACTGATCTGCTTGTTCATACAAAGTCTATTTTGTCATACAATTTATATGGTAGATAGTAGCTGAATGCAGTTGTAATTTTTATTTTGAACCTTTGACAGTACCTTTAGACCCACTAAGCTATAAAATAATTGAATACAAATATAATAGGTACCTATTAATTATTTAACAAAATAAAATATTTGTCTGTATGTATATATTTACCTACTTTTTCCAGTTATTAAACCTCTTTGAGGTAAATGTTTCTTCTGAAGGTTTAGTACCAAATATCTAACAAGGAAAGCAATAAACTGAATTTGTTTCTAAGTTATATTCCAACCAATTAAATTCAGCAAAGTATGATGCATAAAATCTACGATTTCGGGAACCATAACACTTTTTTTGAATATGTCTATAGTGAAAATAACTTATAAATGATTTAGAGTTAAAGTATGGATATTTTAAAATGTATTAACACCTCAATATGTTACATACTTAACATTTCTTATATATTTAAATTAAACCAGAAAGTAAAATATTTCCTTACTTGAAGTTTTGACTGAAATGGTCCAGTTTCTATGTTTCCTAAATCTTTATGACCCATCGGATCATAACTTAGTTCACGTGACTGTACTACCGGTTTAGTAATTGTGCTAAATGTTGTATTATTTGAACTAGAAGCATCTGTTAGGAAAAGTATAGCAAATTAAAACTTTTAACTATTAACTAACTTATAAATTATTATTTTATTAATAAACAAATTGTGTCTTACCATGTCGATTAACTATACTTGGAGTTTATTCCTGTAGTTTCATTATAAAAATGTTAATAAGATCGCTTTTTTTTGACATGACTAAGTAGATTACTATCACCAAGCGAGGAAAACAACAAGCGCGTAAAATATAAATTCGTGATGAATAAGATTAGTTATTTAAACTAAACGCAGATTCCGGTTAAAAGATGTCACCATACCGTTTTAATCAAGAAAAATAATAACGAAGTTGGTCGTTGACTCGAGTATTAACTATCAAACGCAAACACAACCGTTATACCTAGAGAAGGACGAAGATAATATAAAATATGATTCTATTTTTAGCAAAATGTCCCTTTATGACTATGCGAACAGCAGGCACAGCGATTGTCGTCCGATCATCGTTACTCGTTAATCGTTATCACCATTTATTAAAAATCATACGGCTTTTACGACTATTTTTGTGTTTAGTTTATTTACAACTCCGATGTAGAAAACTACAAGACATGATACGTCTTAAGGTCACTCCACACTATGCAAGTTTCACGTTTCGTAGTGTTTACTATTTCGTAGAGTTTCGTAGGATTTCGTAGAAAAGGTATTCACATTATGCATGTTTCGCGTTTCACGAAACAAGCATAGTGCTTTTTCACGAAATAATTTGTTCGTGTCCTTTGATTTCGTTAATTTTACCGCCTCGTTCGCGAAACACTGCTAAACAGTTTTCATGAACAATTTTTTCGTGAAAAAACTATACACACTATTCACGAAATTAAACGAAAACGTGAAAACACGAAACGCAAAACATGCATAGTATGGAGCGACCTTTACACAGGGTCATTACATATAATAATATAGTTTGATAACCAAAAGAAAATACATTTTTTAACCGAGACATTAATAAAAAGAATAAACGATATTTTAAATAAAAGTTTAAAAATGTAGCTATCGTTAGTGGGACTAGGAATTATGACAAGGGAGCTAAATTAATGTTGGAGGGCTTAGCCTCCGAAGTCCCCCCTATTTACGCTAATGTGTATAATACGAGTTTAATAATATAATAAAAATGTGTATGCCATTAGGTGAAATATTGCTGAAATCGATCCGACATAGATTTTGATCAACTCAAAATAAAATGTGTTATTGCAATTTATATAATCGGATACAGGTAATATGATACCTAATGATACCCGGTTTTTTTTTTTTTGTTATGTGGTTCCATCGTATTACGATATGACTACATCTAAGTTCCGTTCCATTAAACTTTTTTTATATTAATTCCATCCCTAATAAAAAGAAGATTAACTAAATATTACAATATTAGTGCAATAAAAAATCAAGACACGGAGACGCACAAATAAAGTTTAAGATTTAAATAGTATTAGCTTTATTTCTAAATAATACAGTAATATGAAATTCGATTATTTAATGCGATAACTGAGAGCAATAGTATCTTTATTTTTAAATAATATAAAATTGTTATCCTAGTCGTAAATTGTATACTATACTCCGTCTTATGAGAAAGGTACATGCTCCGCGCATCGGCGAGAGCACAAAGGCCGAATTTCTCCTACTCCTTATGGCGTAAAACAGTTACCGAATGGGCAAAAGCGGTGAAAGATGCGTAGCGACGGACGAAAAAACGTGTACCTTATCAAGTGAGACGGAGTACATATTAATATAATAGTTTAGAAAACGCAAAAAGGAACGGAACTAGTATAAATAAATAAATTATATTGGACGGAATTATATCCATTTTAAAAACACGAGATGGAGCTAGTATATCCTTGAATTCAAATTTTACATTTGAGACAGAACTCGGATGCAGCCCATAATAT